CGGAGTCCTTGTTGGACGGTAGAATGTTGGGAACGGAATCCGAATTGATGGGTAGGGATTTTACGGGAGTCTATTAAGGGTAGGATTCTTTTCAGGAGGATCTTTTCAAAAATTTTTGAAAGAATTGGGAGTAGGCTAATTGGTCTATAGGATGATGTATTATTGGGAGGCTTGCCTGGTTTCAGGAAAAGGATGATGGTGGAATGTTTCCATAGGAGAGGGAAGTGGGTAGTTCGGAGGATACAGTTGTATATATAGGTTAGAAATATGATGGCTTTGGATGGTAGTTGTCGTAGGATCTACGGGGTTAGAAGGTCGTATCCAGGAGATTTACGAGGAGTGATTTTGCGTAATAGGTATTTGACCTCAGAGGGATTAACTGCTTTATTTGGTAAGGAGAGTGGGATAGGTGAAGAAAGGAATTCTTCTACTTTTACTGTGTGGGTAGGATGAGATTCCGGATGAGGAGCGAAAGTATAGGAAAGGTGTTTGGCAAACTCCTCAGATGATGATCAGGAACCATCACCTCGTCGAAGAGGGTGGGAAATATCATGGGATTTGAGGATTTTTTTGGTGATATTCCAAAGGGAATTATCATGAGCAGAGAGTGTAGTGAGGTAGGAATTGAATGATTGGGATCTGAAGGTGGCTAATTCTTGTTTTAATTTTTTACAGTGATAATTGTAGGAGTGGCGGTCGGCTGGATGTCTGGTACGTTGCCATAATAATCTGGCACGGCGTTTAATGTGGATTAGGTCAAGGAGGTGTTGAGGTAAATTATGTTTCTTAAGGATTTTTGAGGAGTGATCAGGGGAGGAAGCAGTCCAGACTGCTTCATGAATTTTGGTAGTGAAGGAATGTCTGCATTGTCCAGGTCTTCAGGGGTTACTCTGAGGTCAATTTTATCGGAGAGGATTTGATGAAAGAGTTTCCAGTTAACTGGGCCTCTGATGAAGGATGGTGGAGAGGGTTTAGGAATAGGAGCTAATGATACTTGGAATATTAATGGGCTGTGGTCTGAGGAAAGCTCATCAAGATGGGCAAGGGAATGGTGGAGGGTACCTAAACCTTTGTGGATAAAGAAATCGAGGATATCGGGATTACGGTTAGTGTTAGTGGGCCAGTAGGTAGGTGAATTGGGAGGAAGGACGGTAAAACATTGGGAATTGAGTACAGACAGCAATGTTCGAGCACGAGAATTCGTGGTTCTTGCACCCCATTGTTGATGCTTGGCGTTTAAGTCTGCATCCAGGATGAAGTGGTTTCCTAAGGAATTTAGGAGAGAGGTGAAGTGGACATTGGATATGGATCGGTTAGGAGGGCAATATGCTGATGCAATGGTGACAGGAAAGGAAAAGGTTTTGATTACAATTGCAGTGGATTGTAGGAAATCGTGATTAGGCAAGGGGAGTATGTGATGAGAGAGGGATTGATGTACGATGACAGCAGTACCGGCATGTGCTCTACCGTCAGGGTGGTCTGTCCGATACGTTAAGTATTGTGGTATTTTCAAAAGCTGTTTTTTGGTCAGTCGATTTTCTGTAATTAGGGCTACATCAATGTTCTTGTCTAATAGTAAGGCTGTTAGTTCGTCTATGTGATTTCTAACACCATTCGCATTCCATAGGAGAATGGATATGGTTTTGATGAAAGTCATTTAAGGATTTTTTTAAAGGAGGAATGAGATGAGATACCAGGTTTGTAAGAAGTGATATCAGTGGGGTGACAAGGTGTTGGAATCGAGGAAGGGACGTAAAAAAACGTTAGGTATCTTCGAACGATACGAATACCTAGCATTGTTTTTTGTTCTGGTTTGATGGCTCCGAGATTCTGACGTCTAAGTGTCTCCAACTATACCTGAATACAAAACTTATGCTGTACGACACTCACGTTTATACCTCAAAAAAGAGGATTAGGTTTTTAAATGGTTTCTTTCTGATATCCGTTCTCCACCAGTTTGACAATAAAATTATTGATTTTCAATTATTATGTATTGTAGCTACTCCACTTTTGTGCGAATTAGTTTTTTATTTTCTTTCTTTCATTTAAATTAGTATGTTATCGTCGATATTGGGGTCGGGATGGTCGAACGATTTAAGGCGCCTGCAAAAATTTGATATGAAGTGTTTATATCAGGTTTGCGGAAATTAATAACACTTTTTTTTCTGTTGGAATTGCAGACCAGGCTGATCATTTGCCGCCTTAACAAGCCTTCTCCATCTCAGTCTGTCTTGGACTATTTATTTTCATTTATCTGCACGCATCTCTGTTGCATATTTTTGATTCTATCTATTCATCAGCTTTTTGGACTTCAACGTGGTATTTTGCTTTCTATTGAGGCGTTCTTTGTTACATAGAAGCTTCCAGATATATTGCTATGAGCTACATGCCCCACCCATCTTAACCTTCGTGCCTTCATATCATGGGATATTTATTGAACAGTTTCTGTAAGCAGTTCTTTGTTGATCTTTCTTCTCCACGTGTTAGTAGTCTGATCCCTAATCGCTCCGGTTATCGTGCGGAGGATTTTCTTTTCAAATCTTTCAACACTTTTTTTTTGGGTGCTGGTTAGTGTCCACGTCTCACAGCCATATATTAAAAATGGCTTTATCATAGCATTGTACACCTTTAGTTTGAGATTTCTTGAGAGTTTTTTGAATTTCAATACGTTTGAGAGGGAGAAGAAAGCCCTGTTTGCGCTAGTTATATGCTGGTATATTTCTGCCCGTTGGTCATCCATTGAGTTATAATGGTGCCACAGAGATTCACAGGTAGGTAAGCAACCCCTGCGTCTTACACCATAGCTCCTTGTCCTCCAGGTTGATGGTTGGGCATAGGGCTAATAACCCTATCTCGGAAAAAAACAACTTATTGCGAAAGCTAAACAAAAAAAAACCTTAATAATAAATTAACATAATTAAGTGCAGGTATCCTACTCGACTACTTGGACCAGTACTGCGCGGATTCGATTCCCGTATGAAGACGGTAACGTCCCCAACCTGAGATTCATAGAGAGGTGAGCGACCCCTGTGTCTTACATCATAGCTCAGGAGCTATTAGTAATTCAATAGCTGTCGTTATAAAAATAGTAATTCAACCTTAATCCTTACATATTAGATAGCAAAACCCGGGCAAAAAATATTAGGAGTGTAAGTTTCTTATCACTACTCTTAATGATCTATCCTCCCTCAGCTGGTATGTGTGAAAATCCGCACATGTTTTGGTCAAATACTTGATTATTTTTCGATAGGCTTCCGGTGTGGCCGGTGTTATTTTTGTGTCGCTAGTCCTGTTAAGTCATGAATAGCTATCAGGACAGATTGTATTTAATTGGGTGCATAATAATTGAAAATTTCTAATATTTTTGATAAAGATCGGAGGAGGCCGTGGTTCTCTAGGTATCGGTGCAGAATCCATCTCCTCTCTGTCATTTTGAAGCACTTGGTATGGATTGGGTGTAAAAAATGGAGATTCAGAGACCATTTGTTGTGAAGAGGTACCTGCTTGCGGTTGTGGTGTGGAATCTTGAATTTTCGCTGGAGGAGTTCCGGGGGGTGTCGATCGTTTACTGCGACGAGTTTTTTGTTTAGGTGGTGAGTTACGAGGAGTGGAGCCAGCAGAACAAGACCTTTTAGTGGACATCACTTGATGAAAATATCGCATCTAAAAAAAAATAAATAAATAAATAAAAAAATAAGGAAAATAAAACTTCGTCTGCGTGTCCTTGAACTCGGAGAAACGACAAGCACAGCTCCATCCGTCTTCATCCGTGGCAGAGCCACGACTGCTAGAGTGGACAGTATCAGACGTAGCTATTACAGATAAGGCTAGCGATAAGCACCTCGGACACTGGTTTCACTGTTTATAGAATACACAGTAAATATCAACACTACACACTGTGGTATTAGTCCATTGTTGTTGCTGCTGTGTTGATCTCGGCGTTAATAGTTTTAGAGTAAAAAAAAGTAAACTTTTTCCACTTAATAAAAGAGAAACTGTGAGAGACGATGTAAAACGTGGCAATCAAATCAAGCGCATGCGCAGAACTCTATAAAATTTTCAAAACCATTAACAAATATAATATTTAGCAAAATACTCAAACAAGAAATTATTACAACAGTTATTGCCCAGTTTTTTTTTTTCTCTTAGAAAGATCATTTCACAAGTGAAGTGTCATTTATAGGATAAGAATTTGTTTTCATCACAAGCCGTAGCTCGCTGGATTAAGATTGAGGGCTCAATGAGGCCTCCAGGCCAAAACGTTTCGAGACCCCTTAAACTATAACAAAAAAAAAAAAAAAAAAATTGACTTTTATGACTATTGTATTTTAGAAAATCTGAAAATGGCACAAAAGCCAAAACTTTATAATATATAGGGAATAAATCTTCATGGTTCATTAATGAAATAACATTTGTGGGAGTAATGTGGTATTTATGTAAAATATTGATCATTTATTAAATAAATGTAATAATTATATATAGAACCCACAAAAATTTTTATTTATAAACATACCTGCATTATTGACTAATTGAATCTAGAATAAATCGAAGAAATGGAGGCATAATTTTACTAAATATTATATACATAGACAGGAACTAACTTACTCTGAGGTCTCTTAAGAATATCAAACATGTACAAATTAAATTCCTTCAACAATCTTCAGCAAAAAATAAAACAGTCTAGCGAATAAATATAACTGTAATTAAAAAAAAAATGAAGAATGGGGAAAAATATATAGAAACGCTATTAATTGATTCTTATTAACATTGATAACTATTATTCACTTGCATGGAAATTCCGTTCCTAAAATATAAGATGGAAAAAGCGTCTGTTTAGGATATGGGATGGTATTGGAAAATAAGTATGTAAATGAGTTTAGGAAGGAGGTATGGCAGATATTAAATGACATGGAGCGGGCAAGAAAAAAATTAAGTAATACATATATTATTGCTTCATATATTTTAATTCATTATATAAAATATTTGATTCACAACATAATTTACTCAATGTAAGTGCCAAGTTTATGAATGGCTGGCATTTCTTTTTTGCAAACCGTCTGGATCGTTGTCATAGCCATAATGGAACTCTCGTCTCTCATACAAATGTTGGCGAATTTGTACAGGTGAGTCAGAAAGTACGTGTTCTAAAGAAAAAATAAAGAAAAATTAATGCATGCGAATATATTAAAATAATTGGAGTGAGATTTCCTGAGAGTTCTCATAGGAACTATTTTCCAACACAAAGGAGTGCCAAAATGATATTTGAAGAAGGGGACCATCATCGGCGAATCTGGAAATTATAATTGCCATTTCCAAAGAAAAATGAAGTTTCGAACAGTTGACGATTTAAAACTATACAATTATTAATATTAAACTGTTACTTCAGATCATCTGAGATTCATTTGTTTTTCCATTTAGGGAGAATGAGTTTCGAAGTATAAAATAATCGCTTATTTCATTATAAAAGAAAACATGTTTTGTTTTTGATAAAAATGTTGGGCATATACTACAAAATTATTCCAGAGATTAAACTTATATTTTTATTTAAGCGGACTGCGCACCTCTCAGGTTCCGCCAATGCTAACTGTATCTTACTAGTATTTAACTAAATTAAATAAATGGTTTTATGTTTTATTAGTTATGCTTAAATATAAAAAAATAAATGATAAAAATGAAATAGCACTAATTTATTTTAATTCTATAATAGTTCTATAATTTTAAGCAACTGTTTGGTTGGTCCAGAAATATCCCAAACTACATAGTCTGCCTCGAAACAGGAAGAGAACCATTAAGAATGAAAGTAATAAAAAAGATGATAAATCTATGGACCAAGGTCGAGTTCATGCCAGAAGAGCGACTCCCAAAACTTTGTTTTAATAGACTTAAAACATTAGATAAGGATAAGCCTGACATAGACTTCAATTGGGTGTCTCAATTTAGACCAATAGCCGAGCTTAATGCCTTTGCAGAAGAGCTTCAGCCCACAAACGGACTTTTTCTATACAAAGACGACATCCTTGAAAAAGCACACAACTATTATTTCTCAGCCGACATACAAAGAACTTTTAACTCCACTAACTACTCTTTATACAGAATGCCATGCAATTACAATGCTCCCGATCTTGAAACGTACCTTAAATTCAAAGTCCACATAAAGAAATTGAGATGTGTTATTCGATTAAGAGTTGCAAACCCAGAACATATCAGAATCTATGCAAAAAAACAGAACATTTTCGATTGAGTCTCAAGAAACCTGTATATCATGCAGTAAATTTATCTACAATAATCTACATCACATTCTCCTTCACTGCCCAGCATACAATGACTATAGACAAAAATTTCTTCAAAACTTCATCTCAGAATCTTCTGATAACCACAACGTCAAATCCATACTGAATATCGATTGTATAGATAAGTTAAATAAAATTTACTATTATATGATGGGAGTACACAAAGTGCATACACAAAATTGTTGATCATAGCCATGTTCTATTAAGCGTTTGTTTTTAGTTTATCTTAAGAGTAATATTTTGTTTATATTTATAAATATTTTTATTTTTTATTGTTTCTATCATAGTAACTGGTTCATATAACTATTATTATGCAGTAATCGTTTTATGTTTTTAATTTTTATTGTTATTCATGTTTTGTGAAACCCATTCTAAACGTTAAATATTGTAAATTTTATTTATATTTAAATTATATGTATGTAAATTTGTAAAACCATATTATTGTACAATAACCAAGCTAGGCTCTATTTGTATGGGGAACACCCTTAAAACAAATAAAATATCTATCTATCTATCTAGTTCTATAGTTTTAATAACTTGGGAATTAATTATTAATATAAGAATTCGCTATTATATTATTTCTTGATGTGTATTGTTTAGATACGGAAGGCTTAGCAAAATTCATAGACATCTGAGCATTTAGTGCAAAAGGAAAGGAGGCTCTGATAGTTGATTCTTCCATTAGATTTTAAACAAACGATGAGGGTCATGATCAAAAGATACAAATAGAAAGAAAGGAAATACTTAAAATCTGAATTATGTACCTACAAGAAAAGTATAGAGAGGAATTTGATGAGAAAGTTTTTCGTTTCGGGGACTTGAGTTCGAAAGTAGAGGAGCAATACTTCTTTCAACTGCTACTTTCTTGGACTCACTGGGAATCCATTTCGCCAGCTATATTAATTCTGGGTATTGCTTTATGGATTCGAGGGACAGAAATGAAAAGGGAGAAGTTAAAAAGAAAATAACCTCTCATATTTATTTTTATCTTATCCTGGACACTTTAAGACCTCCAGGTTACGGTTAGTTAATTACTTGTTACTTAATTGTACTAATGAATAAATTAAAAAAGAAAGGAACATTCTCCTGTCTATGGAAACGATATACTATTTGGAATCAAAGACTTGCCAAAATTAAGAAAAGTTTGTTTCAAAACTGCCCAAACGTATGAATAAAAAAAACTTTATATTTCCATGGAAATCGCATTAGTTAATTCAGAATTTTATTTACTACTGTACCTTAAGATATTAATTTAAAAAAATATTAAAAACTACGATATTAATAATATGTCTTAATTACTAATAACAAGCGATCTGATGATCTGAAAAAAAAAATACCTTGGGAATACTCAAGCAGTTATTATCAAAAGCATCAAGCAAATCTTCGTAACAAGAGAACATATTTATGTCAAATTTCTGTCTTTCAGTTTCCAAACCCGTTTGTGAAACAAGGTCTCCTTCAGTGTACATTTCGAGAATATTTGAAATCAATTTGTCAGCAAATACACGGCTCTAGAAAGAAATAAGTGATTATATTGTATCTTATCTATTAGACTTACATTCTAAAGTATATGTGTATGTTCTTTAAGAATATATATTACTTTACTATCTTATTTCAGCGATTCAAAGCCTAGAGCAATTATAACTTAATGATTAAACTTCGAAACTATACAGAAAAAGTTTCTATGTTTGTTAGTACACACTTCTTAAGCTGTATATAAGAAAACATACACCTATATACATTGGCTTATACGTTATACATACATACATATATATATATATATATATATATATATTATATATATATTTTTTTTTTTTTTTTTTTTTTTTTTGAAAAATAACTTCATTCTGGGACACAGTCCCTTGAGAATAACAAAATAGAACAAAATTAAAAGATTACATCTAGCCAAAATAAAATCAATCGAAAAAATGAAATAATGTAAAAAAAAATATAAGGTAAACATTCTATATACAAAACAAACGAAACTATATACAAAACAATTAATACTATGACAAGACACTTAAAGCTATTTACATTGATAGACCAGTATACACTTTTAAGTAGAGATGGGCAAAATTGTACTCTGAGTAAAAAGTACAATTACAGAGTAATTTACTCAAATACTCGCCCGGTTCGAGTATCGAGTACTTCAATCACTACTCGACCTCATGATTGACGAGTACAAAAAGTAATCAGCTGTCCTCGTGAGTACTTTCTATTTTCAAATCTACTCAGCAATATTTTACTCTGAGTACTTTTCAAAGTAATCGAGTATTTCATTATAAAAATTACAGGAGTAGAATATTTAATATTTCTTCCATGTTTAAGTCCATTGTTATCTTATGGGGGTATAGTTTTTTAAAATAGTATCGATATTAATGTAAATCGATAAAATAAAGAATTATTAAAATATTTTGGATATTATGCCACCCGGGCCCGACTTTTTTTTTTAACTTTTTGAATTAAATCGATATCAGGGTCGACTATTATGTTTTGGGGGCGCTTTTTATGAAAATGATATCGAATTTGGAGATTGGGCCCCCGGGCCTCGACTTTTTTTATCTTTTTGGATTAAATCGATATCAGGTTCGACTATTAGGTTTTGGGGGCGCTTTTTATGAAAATGATATCGAATTTGAGATTGGGCCCCCGGGTCCCGACTTTTTTTAACTTTTTGAATTAAATCGATATCAGGGTCGACTATTATGTTTTGGGGGGGCTTTTTATGAAAATGTTATCGAATTTGAGATTGGGCCCCCCGGGCCCGACTTTTTTTATCTTTTTGGATTAAATCGATATCAGGGTCGACTATTAGGTTTTGGGGGATGCTTTTTATGAAAATGATATCGAATTTGAGATTGGGCTCCCCGGGCCCGACTTTTTTTAACTTTTTGAATTAAATCGATATCAGGGTCGACTATTATATTTTGGTGGGCGCTTTTTATGAAAATGATATCGAATTTGAGATTGGGCCCCCGAGCATGGAATTTTATTAACTTTTTGGATTAAATCGATATCAGGGTCAACTATTATATTTTAGGGGGCGCTTTTTATGAAAATGATATCATATTACGAATCATTTTCATACATTTTGAGATACTGCCCCCGGGGCCCGACTTTTTCTAACCTTTCGGATTTAATCGATATCAATGTTGATTATGAGGTTTTGGGGAACACTTTTTATGAAAATGATGTCGGATTTTTTTTTTTATAAAATCCGTCCCCTGAAACATAATAGACGGCCCTGATATCGACTAATTCCAAAAAGTGAATCCACTGGGTGCAATCTCAAATCCGACTGTATTTTCATAAAGCACCCCCTAAAACCTAATAGTCGACCCTGATATCGATTTAATCCAAAAAGTTAAAAAAGTAGGGGCCCGGGGGGCTCAATCTCAAATTCGATATCATTTTCATAAAAAGCACCCCCTAAAACCTAATAGTCGACCCTGATATCGATTTAATCCAAAAAGTTAAAAAAAGTCGGGGTCCGGGGGGCCCAATCTCAAATTCGATATCATTTTCATAAAAAGCACCCCCTAAAACCTAATAGTCGACCCTGATATCGATTTAATCCAAAAAGTTAAAAAAAGTAGGGGTCCGGGGGGCTCAATCTCAAATTCGATATCATTTTCATAAAAAGCACCCCCTAAAACCTAATAGTCGACCCTGATATCGATTTAATCCAAAAAGTTAAAAAAAGTCGGGGTCCGGGGGGCCCAATCTCAAATTCGATATCATTTTCATAAAAAGCACCCCCTAAAACCTAATAGTCGACCCTGATATCGATTTAATCCAAAAAGTTAAAAAAAGTCGGGGCCTGGGGGCTCAATCTCAAATTCGATATCATTTTCATAAAAAGCACCCCCTAAAACCTAATAGTCGACCCTGATATCGATTTAATCCAAAAAGTTAAAAAAATTCGGGGCCTGGGGGCTCAATCTCAAATTCGATATCATTTTCATAAAAAGCACCCCCTAAAACCTAATAGTCGACCCTGATATCGATTTAATCCAAAAAGTTAAAAAAAGTCGGGGCCCGGGGGGCCCAATCTCAAATTCGATATCATTTTCATAAAAAGCGCCCCCCAAAACATAATAGTCGACCCTGATATCGATTTAATCAAAAAGTTAAAAAAAGTCGGGGCCCGGGGGGCCCAATCTCAAATTCGATATCATTTTCATAAAAAGCGCCCCCAAAACCTAATAGTCGACCCTGATATCGATTTAATCCAAAAAGTTAAAAAAAGTCGTGGTCCGGGGGACCCATTTTCAAATTCGATAGCATTTTCATAAAAAGCGCCCCCCAGAACATAATAGTCGACCCTGATATCGATTTAATTCAAAAAGTTAAAAAAAGTCGGGGTCCGGGGGGCCCATTTTCAAATTCGATAGCATTTTCATAAAAAGCGCCCCCCAAAACATAATAGTCGACCCTGATATCGATTTAATTCAAAAAGTTAAAAAAAGTCGGGGCCCGGGGGGCCCAATCTCACATTCGATATCATTTTTATAAAAAGCGCCCCCCAAAACATAATAGTCTACCCTGATATCGATTTAATCGGAAAAGTTATGAAAATTCGATGCCCGGGGGCACTATCTTAAATCCGACAGTATATCTTTATAAAAAGGGCCCCCCAAGACATGATGGTTAGTCTTATATCGATTAATGGGGGGTCGGGGTTGGTCAGGTCGAATATGGCCGCTATTATTGTAGGAAATAAAAGAAAACATTTTTACTCTTTATAATAATGACGGAGTAGTTGAAAAATAAAAAGTACTCTTTGTAGGAATTGGGCTGAGTACTTTCTGTAATTCGATATAACAGCGCGAGTATTTTCTGTACTTAACTAAATCATGATTGACGCTGCGTGAGTACTCTCAGTACTCGCCGATGTCAGGCCGAGTACAGAAACTACTCGATACTTTTTCCTAATAAAATTACTCAAATCATGAAAGTAATCGAGTACTGCCCATCTCTACTTTTAAGAAAATAATAAAGAATTAAAAAATAAAAATGTATCAAATTCTCCATTAAAATCAGCTCGAATGGTTAGCAACTATCTGACTGTTTTTGGGATAGGAATTGGAATAGGAGGGTTTTGAATGTGGATATTGATGGGGAATGTCGAATTTTGATAGGGAGGGAATTCTAGAAATTGACAGAGCGAACTATAAAGGAATTTTGGAATAAGGCAGATCTGTGAGAGGGCATGTAAAGGTTAGAAGGTCTTGTGGACAGGGAATGGACTGAGGATTTGAGCTGGAGAAGGTTGTAGGTGTAAGAAGGACGACGGCTGTTGATTATTTGGTATAGGAACGCACCTAGGAAATATTGTCTTCGGAAGGAGGGAAAAAGCCACTTTAACTCAGCGTAGTGGTGAGAAACATGGGAGTATTTTGGGGCCCCGATCACAAATCTTACGCAGCTGTTCATTAGTCTTTTCAGTCTATCGCGGAGCTCCACAGAGAGGCCATCATACACCACACAGCTATAGTCAAAGTGGGGGAAAATTAGAGAGGAAACTAGGAGTCTACGCGTATGTTGAGGTAGGAGATGGCGGAAGCGATGGAATAGTTTGAGGGTGGAAATTGTCCGTCGAGAGATATGAGAAATATGGTGATTCCTAAAGAGGTTTTGATCAATGAAAAATCCTAAATTTTATATATATACACTGTCTTATATACAGATCAAGAGCTGAGTGATAACGAAAAATACAAAAAGTAAGTTTTTCTATTTAGTTTCGGAATTTAATTATTAAGTTATAATTGCTCTCGCCTTTGAATGGTTAAAGCTAAGATAGTAAAATTATTCATATGCCTAAAGAAAATTTAATATTAAACAACTTTCTTCCTTATGACTTTTTGTAAAATGAAAAGATAAGCAGTTGGTAAGTAAAATAATGATAAAAATGGCGAGGCAAAAACAATTTTTGCATTACGAGGACGGATATCACGGAAACTATAGAATTAAGCGAAAATACTAATATTATCATTTCTATTGAAAATTTTGTCAGGTTTAATTTTACATATGACATTATTATGGATAGAACCCATAGTTATAGTATATAAGAGAAAACCAAAAAATATAAACTTTTTGAATCGTAAATTCAATTTTTCAACTTGAAATCCACGGGTATGGGGTAACTGACTATTATTTCATGTCTTAGGACTGTAAATACAATAAATTGAAAGGGTTGCTAGCTTTATATATCTATAAGCTGTCTCTATTTATAAGTTTATTAACTATATAGGTTCTCTATCTATCTTCACCAGGCCGCCAATTCGTATTGCAGTGGCTATATGCTGGAAGAAGTGAAATTTTCTCATCAGGCCTATGGGTATGGTCAATTTATAGGAACAAACCTTAGTATGAAATATGACACCTTTTTTTCCAACGGGCTCCTATATTGACTATATATTAGGAAGAATATATAGTCATGAGTTTGTTGTCCTGGCGTCCTCACCGCCGAATGGCTCGACTATAGGTCTTAGTCTACTTTCTAAAATGGATCTACATAGATTGTAGAAAAATAGTGAGAGGCACGTGGGTCTACAATAGTGTTACCCAAATGCGAGACCGAGACGAGTCTTGGTCTTGCAAATTCAGTCTTGCTCTTGTGCAAGAGTCTCGCAACAGCCTTGCAGTTACCTATTAACTTATTTCTAGAGAGGTATTACTATAATTTTTTAGATAGAAGAAACCTAACTAAGTCTGAATGAAAAATTAGAAGAGTTAAATGCAAACGTATATAGGTTACACCAATTCTTTAAATATAGTAACTAAAATTGTCAGGTATTAGTAACTATTTTGCATAAATTTGTATTCAAAAAATCTTTTTTTTTTTACCGGTTTTGGTCTTGCAACAGATAGGCGGTGTTGGTCTTGTTCTTGCAAAGTGCAAAACCAAGACCGATTTTGGGCAACACTAGTCTATAATTGCAACATTCAGTCTAGCTGCCCTTCTCGTATGAAATTACAAAATTATATTCCCATTTTTTTTATATTCTCTTTTCCTTCCTGGATTTTTGAAAAAGCATTAGAAGATCTGACAACCATCTCATCATGAAACCCCGTACTTTACAACCTCTTCAACTATATTATCCCGTCCTGGATCATTCCCTGTATTCATCCTTGCAATGATTGTTTTAATGAATTATTTCTTTAAATTATTATAAATTGTTTCGAATTTATATGTATTTAAATATTTGTTTTCTAAGTATTGTATGCCCTTCCTCGTATCATTTATTTTATATATTTGAAGGATATATATATATAAGTGAATGAAGACAAAACATAATATATGATAAGCCAAAAATTCCACCCCAATTACAGGATCTGCGTAGAAGGATAATAATTCCTGGGAGAAGAAAAATCCAAGTACCTTGGCTCCAGAATAACCTCAATAAATGACCAACGGGCAGAAATCGACCAGCCTATAGCTAGCGCAAACAGGACATTCTTTTCGCTCTCAAAGCTATTGAAGCCCCGAAAAATCTCAAACTATGGGTGTACAATAATATTATAAAACCAGTTCTAATATATAGTTGTGAGAGCTGGGCTCTAACCGGTACCTTAAAAAAAAGTGTTGAAAGATTTGAAAGGAAAATCCTCCACACGATAACCGGAGCGATCTAGGATCAGAGTACTAACAAATGGAGAAGAAAGACCAATAAAGAATTGCTTACAGAAACTGGTCAATCAATATCCCTTGATATTAATAAGGCACGGAGGTTAAAATGGACGGGGCATGTAGCTCGTAGCAATCCATCTGGAAGCCTCTACGACCAATGAATGCCCCAATAGAAGGCAAAAGACCACGTGGAAGGGCAAAAAGCAGATGGATAGATAGAATTAACAAAGATGGTATAGAGCTGCTAGCAGATAAATGGAAAGAAATAGCTTAAGACAGGCAGAGATGCAGCAGGCTTGTTATGGTGGCAAAAGATTTGCATGGTCTGTAATGCCAACAGGAAAAAAAAAATTAAGGATATCTATAGTATTGACTCTGTATCCATGAAATTTCATGTTAAAATGGATAGAAAGTTTTTTTACACAGAAAGTATTTTAAAACGTAAACGTCCATTTTGTAACTATCTACTCTCCCACTTCTAGAAATTCCAGCGAAAAAAACAAAAAAAAAAAACAGTCACAGATGTAACGCAAGTACTTGAGGTTGAAACTAAAAAGCTATAGTCGAAATACATTTGCCAATCCACCAATGCCTTGCCTTATAATCTTTAGAATATACTTCTAATACAAATTTATGTACAATGGTACAACGATTTTGTGAAATTTAAAAGAATCTTTTGAAAAATACATGGATCAACATTATTGTCTTTGCAAATTTTTATTTATTTATTTTAATAATGGTAAATTTCCTGAAGGAATATGAATGAAACTAAAAACAAAACTGTAATATTATTTTCTTAATGTTTTTTTTAAGTGGCTGAAATATATGCGTTATAATTTTAAAATAGTACTTATTTTGATTGTTTAAGTGTTCAGCTCAGATCTGTTACAGAAATATGGACCAATAAAAAAAAAATGCATTCGGCTTTTGCCAGTTAATGCTAACGAAGATAAGCAAGTGTTGTTTCGAGAAATTTTGTCCCACTCTTCAAATTACACTACCCTACAAAAAAATTTTGTTTGCTTGTATCTTCCATGAAAACTGTTTTTCTTGACTAATTTTGTGTTAGAAACTCCAATTTTCTCTCAGAATCCTTATACTAGCTACCGTTTTGCAGATACGTATACCCAGTATCGAATACAAAAAATTAAGTTCTCGGAATTTACACGATCATTTTTTAGACTTTAAAAGTGCTTAATTATGTGTGAAATACTTTTACAGCTCACAAAACATTAAATTACAATGTTCCTCTCTGCAACAGCACTGTTGTAAAGTTTATTTAGATTGTTTCTTCTTTGGTTGACGATTGTACTGATGTTCTGACAAATCCCTTACAACGTTCCAACATTAGTCTGCAAGCATTGAAGTATCCCACCGACCTTCATTTCTTTGTTCCATCAAGGATATATCTTAGTGAAATCGCTCACCATGTTCGTCACTCACAGGTTCACAATTTTCGGGAAAGAAGTCCAAATGAGAGTGAAGAAATTGAATCTTGAGTGACATGTTACAACCGAGGTCTCTGTACTCCTCAAGGAGGGTTCGGACTAGGACAGCATAATTGTCCTCTCTTTTGTTACCCAAGAAACCATTAATTAAAGCTGTACATACTTCCCATGCTGCTCTTTCTTTATCCTGAAGAATATTAAAAAAAATCCCGGTCATTAAGAAGCTCACATATTTATGGACCAACAAATAAACCCTATTTAGCAAAGACATTTTCCTCTCAAGTACTTGGATGGCTCTCGTGATTGGTTCATTTCATTCCTAATAATTATTGGGATATTTTGTTCAAACGATAGGCAATGTTGAGAAATTTTAGATTTTGCTTCCCCCCCTCTCATAAAAGAAACCTTAGTTTCAAATCCTAATATTTATATTTTATTATTCTGATCTGTCAAAAATAAATACTTTCATATATACATATTTAAAATGCCATTTAACTTACAGCCCTTAAATTATTACTTATTGTTAGATGTTAATTTATATTTAAGTATTTTTTCAACTTGTAGGGTAATATAAATAATATATGCAAAGGGTAATATATACATATAAATGTATATATTCTGATTTTCATTTTATACAGTAGTACGATTCCTAGTTATAACTATATAAATACGTGGTATGATGGAAACATCAGTCAGGATGTTTTGTACTGTGAATTGTCATGTATTGTAGATAATATGTTTATGTTAGTATATTAATTAAACTATTTAACGCCTTCTGTCTAAATCCATTATTTTAATTTTTTTTAGTGTAATATATAGCATTTAATTACGATTACTGTTTGAGGAAGCCTATATGGCTTGCATATATTTATTGTTTCGATTACTCATAGTTTATGTACTAAACCTTGATATAGACTTTAGTTAGAAGAATGTTAGTAATATAGTTTTAAATGTGGACGACTTACTTTGATCAGTTGTTCTAGTTTCTCTAACATGACACTTCCAGGTCCCTTTGCAGCTTTCAATTTCATCCTTGCGAAATGCAATGGTATTTCTCTGCTATTAACATCTTTGGTTTCCTAAAATCAAAGCATTTTTTAATATCTATATTTTCACATCAGCGTTCAAACTTGAAAATTTTTATTTTATTTTTTATACTTATGAACTAATAGATGACAATTGCCTTGACAATGAGTATTAAATGACTTCAAAATTCAAAATGAAACTAATAAATATTTTTATCAGGCGAGGGAACTCCGAGGCAGACTTGTCCCTCCAACTATGAAGGGAAAAGCAGGACTCCAGGAGAACACTGCGCTACTCTCTCAAACGCATCACTGGTAGGCCAACTGAGTTTGATTGAATTAAAAAAAAAATACAAATATTTACATATATTAATTTTTTTTTTTGTTTTTTGGCTGATATTTACTTGATATTTTTAACTTTAAATATCTGTTCTTTAAAGCAGTTCAGTCACCTCAAGAGATTCTGGGTATTCTGTCAAGTATTCGACTCCAACTTTATCGGAATAGAATTGTTTCAAAAATCCCAATCTGTAGTCTCCATACAATTGTACATGACTTTTCTCCGTTGCTGAACGTATTGCGTTGTAGTTGTCAAATAGTGTCTCACTAGTGTTGAGCTGAAAAATAATGAATTTTTTTTAAAAAGCCTTCTGTAAATAGAATAATATTGTAAAAGAGACGTTAGAAATTTAATCTCTTGAAAATAACAGATAGCAAAAAGAATATTTGTTAGGAGAAGCAACCGAAATTCAAGTCATGCCGCTTAAGAAATTTCTCTTGAAAAAACATATAATACTAATGATGAATATATGTTATTTAGATACACTGTACATTCATGTCACCAACATTTATACACTAAAAATAGATGACATTTTTAATTCTGATATTCAAAACTTTTTCTTGATGATAATAATATACTGAGTCTAGAATTATAAAGATAAAAATTAAAAACAGGTAGAACAAAACTAACAAACTGTGGTTTAGTAAATTTTTGAAAAAAATTATAATTATTAATTACATATACGCAAACAAATATTACAAGCTAAAAATAAAAAAGAAATCACATTTAAAAAACTAATAGAAACATTTTCTTATAATAAAAATACTTAGCGAACCCACGGATTCGATGCCGACACCCAATCCCTCCCAACTTCCCTCGTTCATGAAGGCGTCAAACAAGATGATAGCCTAAGCCCACTACTATTCCCACATATGCATGAAGTATGGAAGGTTTGTAAGCAAAGGACATCCAGATCAACAGTGGGTACTGGAATTTAATTCCTGTGCAGGCGCAAGTTCTCCTAAATACAAATGACGTGCCCCTGATTGCCGACACCTAAGAAAGGCTTTAGATGGCTGTCAATGAATGGTCAGTAGAACTCCAGTGGAAAGGAATGGAAATAAACCCTACAAAAAGTAAGATGATGCTCGTCGGTCGAGATGTGAAAGATCAAGTTCTCATAAAATGTAATAGTGAATTCTTAGAAAAGGTAGATAAATACCTGTGCTTGGGCACGATTTTCAGCAGAGATAGAAGGATCGACACGGAGGATTTAAATAGAATCAAGAAGGTCAATGGTGTGTTTTACTCAATTTGCACTACAATATTAGGGAAACAGGAGGTAAAGAAGAAAACAAAAATAGCTTTGTTTAAAATAGTATTTCTGCCTGTCCTTTTATATGGTGCAGGGAGTTGGACGGTCCTGGACAAACATGCAAGTAAAGTAACGGCCATAGAAATACGATACCTCAGGAGAGTATCTTCATCCCTGGTCTTTTTGTCATTTACTCCGTAGCTATAGAGTATATCTTTGTATGTCTTAATACATAGAGTAAGATAACGAAAATGACAATTTTTGGGAAAACCAATGTATCATACCTTTGAATACGAGAGGCCAAGAAAAATTGCAAAAGCTAAATCTCGTCATCTTAACCACCCTTACCATACGTTTTAAGTGACCAGTACATAATAATGCCCATTGAAATCATTACAATTCCATGTTGTCTAGGCTTCTTTGGATAATATATCCTTAGACCAAAATATTCTAGAAAATACCTAATTTTTGAAGCCTGTAAGGCGTTATTCTTCCGTTAAGGAGCATTGGAAGGGTAGCATACTTACCGATTCTAAATTTCTCTGTTTTTATGATAGTAACCTTGAACAGTATAATTTTGTAATTGAAAAACGACAAGCATTGGTCGTCTTTGACCCCGGATTTGTAAATTATGGATGCATTAAAATGTACCCCCTATAATATCTATTAGAAGAATCTGGCCAGAGACGGCAGTGAGTAAACATCTACGGAGCGCTTTCTTTCAATTTCATATATTGAGCCCAATTTTGGTTTTTTCTTTCGTTGTTTCTTTTCTTAACAGTGTCATACTATCGAACGTAATCTTTAAAACTTCTTATATTTACGTATTTTCACGCTACTCAACGTAAAGAAAATATAGTGAGAGTGCTACGAGCCTTGTGAGTGTTAAGCTAATAATCCTATAAGTATTAGGAGTTGTTTGCTTGGCGGATCACAATATCAACTTCACTTGACATTAACTGTAAGTTATTTTTTATTATTAAAAATGGTCCAGTGCACGATTTGTAATAACGCTATTGCCCGTGAAGATAAATACAATTTATGTTGTACGAAGTGCAAAGTTATTTATCACGGCAAGTGTTTTAATCTCACAGACAAAGAGATAAAAGCTTAGAGAAGCACAAAAAAAACATGGATGTGCCTAAATTGCGATCAAACAAAGAAACTAAATTTAAACAATGAATAGCCTGTATCAGAAATATTAGCAGCAGTTAATAGACTGGATAGTCATGTTAGTGAGGAAATAAGGGATATGAAGACAGCCCTCGATAAATATGGAGACCTCAGCTTTGAACTGAATGAGAGGTTATCTAAATTAGAAAAACATCTCGAGGGCCAAGCCAAACATTTTGAGGAGATCATTTTGGAAAATAAAGCCCTCAAAGCTCGAGTGGGCGATTTAGAGATCCGCCTGAACAAAACAGAACAGGGTCAATTATGTAGATCGCTGGAGATCCGTGGGATCACAGTGCGAGCAGGCGAGACGCCCGCGGCTCTGGTGACCAGTATAGCCGCGGGGCTGGTCATCAAGCTCGGAGTGGAGGATGTGGATGTCGTGCAGCGCCGCAGAAGCAAGAAGGATGACCCGCGACCGCCGCCGGTACTAGCAAATTTCGTCAGGCAGTCAGTGAGGGACGACCTGATAGCGAAAAGGAAAGTGAAGAGGGATTTCTCGACGCGTGATATCGGGTGGCAGGAAAACGACTGCCACCGAATTTATCTCGGCGAGGAGATGACCCCAACAAACAGGCACCTCTACTGGCTAGCCCGGCAGAAGAGAGCTGCCGGGAAGATAAGATACGTATGGTTCTCTGCCGGCATTGTGCGTTGCCGAAAAGAAGACGGCCATCAAGTAATCTTGATTAATCAGGCATCGGATCTAGAAGTTTTCGCCTGACTGCACAGGTTTCATCTCTTCTTCTCGTTCTTCAAAGTATTTTTTGTCTTCATTGGTGCCCAAATAACATTGAAGATTTTGGTTAAAATTTCTCACAGCTCCAGTTTACTAATTTGTTTATTTTCTTACTCTTATTTCTCACTTATTTTTTCATTATTCACTTTTATTTTGCTTATCAGTACTTTTCATAATTTTTTTTCAGAATATGATATATGCCTCATTTCCTCTATGCTAATTTCTGACTGTTTCCCATCAAATCCTCCCCATGTCTAGCATCCTAACCACCTGCCACGTTAACTCGCAATCCCTTCCCGCCCATTATGATGAATTCCTGCAGTACTTTTCTCAAAACTTTTTTCACATCATCGCAATCTCAGAAACCTGGCTCAAACCCTATATTCCGTCCTCATCTGTCTCCTTACCTAATTACACCCTCATCCGCCACGACCGGGTCAGCCGGACTGGTGGTGGGGTGGCCATATTTGTCCATGATAGCCTGAAGTCCCGAATCCTTGATTACTCCCCACCTCCGAACATCCACAAGTGGAGTACCTTCTAGTAGAAATTACCTGTAATAATTCCCCTCTCCTTTACATAGTGATCTACCGTCCTCCCCTTGTTCCATTTGATCCGTCCTTAGAATCAACCCTACTCAACTTTGTTCCCCTCTATCCTAGAATAATCATCGCCGGTGACCTCAATACCAATTTCCTTTCTAATTCCAAAGACAAAACCTATCTAGAAAACCTATTTTTTTCCCTCCATCTCTTTATTGTTCCTTTTTATCCTACTCACCACACCCACAAGGCCGACACTTGGTTAGATTTCTTCATTATAGACTCCGAAATAAATCTCCTCTCCTCTTCTCAACTGCCAGTATCCTTCTTATCGTCTCACGACATGATCCAAATAACATATAATATCCAAACCCCTCTGATTCATCCGAGAACCTTCACTTTCCGTCAGATAGACACTCTCACCCGTGAAAAAATACTACCTGACCTTGAAACCTTAGACTTGAACGAAATATATTCCTGCTCCTCCATCGACTCCATGGTTGAGATCCTGACTTCCAATCTCCTCAATATCCTTAACACCCATGCTCCCATAAAAACCTCAACCTTTCGCCGCCGGCCTGCACCTTGGATGTGTCAAGAAATCAAGGATCTGCAGAAGAGGCGTGATGCTGCCCGCAGACGCTTTAGACGTACTAGGCTTACAGATGACTATCAAGCGTTTAGGGTGCTCCGCAATTTGACACAAACAAGAATTCGGCGAGCTAAAGCTTCCTACTTCCATGAAGCCCTGTCATCTGCCCCAGATCCCAAATCTAAATGGCTAATCCTTCGCAAACTTTCCCTCTGTGAACCTTCCAGATCCCCTTCCTCACTGTTCTTTTCCGTTTCACCTGACGATTTAAATTCACATTTTATTTCTGCCTCCTCTACCTCTTCTCTTCCCTTCTCTTCCAACTTTGCTCCTGAGTCATCATTTAATGATGATGACTTTTATTTCTCCTACATTTCCCCGACTGACTTACTAACCGCAGTAATGAAATCCCACACCAATTCCATAGGACCAGATGGCATTCCTGTCAAATTGATAAAATTATGTCTCCCCGAAATCCTCCCAGTTCTCCTTTTCATTTACAATTTCTCCCTACAGAACTCAATATTCCCTTCCTCTTGGAAAAAAGCCATTGTACTCCCTTTAAATAAAAAGCCTAATCCATCCTCTCCCGAAGACTTTCGCCCAATCTCAATTCTTTCCAATCTCTCAAAACCCCTAGAAAGATTGGTGCAATCCCAAGTTTCCAATTTCCTAGAAAAGTCTAACCAACTCGATCCTCTCCAATCTGGTTTCCGTCCCGGCTACTCCACACAATCCGCCTTAATCAAAATTACTAATGATGTTCAGACTGCAATAGATAATAAACAACTAACTGTCCTTATACTTCTTGACTTCTCTAAAGCCTTTGATTCCATTAACCATCCCATCCTTTTCAACAAACTAAAATCACTCTCCTTCTTCAATAGCTCCATCTCTTGGTTCCAATCTTTCCTATCACAACGCACCCAAGCAGTCTCCATTCCTAATCAACCACTATCTGCCTACCTGCCTTTATCCTCTGGAGTTGCTTAAGGATCTAGCATATCTCCTCTCCTTTTTAGTTCCTATATAAATGACCTCCATGACTCAATTCTCCATTGTTCCCACCACCTTTATGCAGACGATTCTCAAATATACCTATCCTTTTCTCCCCCTGAGCTATTGGTAGCATTTACTAAGATCCAAGCAGACCTAGATCGAATCTGTGCCTGGGCAAAATTAAACGGATTAAGGTTAAATGCATCAAAAACTCAGGCTCAGAGGTACTCCCATGTCTCTCACCACTACACTGAGTTAGAGTGGCTCTTCCCCTCCATTCGAAGACAATATTTCCTAGGTACATTGATCTATCATATCATCAACAATCATCGTCCTTCCTACGCCTACAACCTTCTCCAATTCAAGTCCTCAGTCCACTCCCTCTCCACAAGATCTCGACCTTCCGACCTTTACATTCCTTCTCACAGATCTGCCTCGTTCCAAAACTCCTTTATTGCACGTTCTGTTAGTTTCTGGAATTTCCTTCCTATCAAAATTCGACATTCTTCATCCTTATCTACATTCAAAACCCTCCTATTCCAATTCCTGTCCCAAAAACAGTCAGGCACCGGCTAATCTTTTATGTAAAATTACACATTATCTATAAGACCATATTCACATATAGCTCATGACCTGAATACTTATTATAGATTCGACTTCTTTTTCTCTTTTTTTTTTTTTTTCTTTTTCAACAGAAACAGATTTTACTGTTAAGAAGAATATACATTTATTTTTTCTGTATTTTTTATTTTTTCTAAAAGGGTTTCATTTATATTTTAACATCGTACATAGTTTTAAGTATCTTAGTATGGTTTCAAGAGTTTTTTATATAGATTTTTTTATTTTATTTTGTATATAGTATGTATAACCAATATTTTTTTCTTTTCTTTTCTTTAATGACCTTCATTATCTTAATTTGTTATGTTTGTTTTTATTTGGCCAGATGTAAAATTTTAATTTCTGTACTTTTTTGTTATTCTGAAGGGACTTCGTCCCAGAATAAAATTATTTTTCTATTCTATTCTATTCTATATATTTCATAGAGATAATCATCGTTTCTACTACTACAAAGCAAATATTTTTCATATCTATATAAATGTACTGCATACATTTATATAGATACACATGCATACATGTACAATGTTAAACAGAGGGTAGAAGAAGCGGAAAAAAAAATTGGTCTTGAAATGTTAACATTCCAGTTCTACAATATATACCGGCTTTTGTGCAGCTGACACTGCATCACCTTACTTCAATGACAGTTTTAATCTTGCATCGATACGGTCTATCTTCCGGCGTAGAACGGAATTGCACATTTTAAGCCGAGGTACATGAGAGCAACCATAACTGTCCGGTATGCAACTCCGGAGAAAAATAAGACACTATCGAATTATTGGGGCAATGCCATATGTATGACTAGAACAGAGATAAATGTTTTCGTAGGCAAAGTTGTTCTCCTATAAAAATAAATATTTTTTCTTTAATTGTGGCTTGAGTGGCAGTGGATCAGCTGATGAGAAGGTTGTCTCCTCAACTCCTCTCTCAGTTTTTACCAATTTTATAGCGGAATCTCTCTGATTATTCACGTGATACAGTTAAAGTGTATATCAGAGCAGTTGATATTTACTGTTGGCATCTTTTTTTTTGTTATTTTAAGAAAAAAAAAAAAAATTTTTTTTTTTTTTTTTATTTATTTATTTATTTTTTTCTTATGATATGCGGTATGATCAGCAAGTGATGGCCAGTAAGGTGCCCAAGAGGTCTCGGTCAGACGGAGTTAGCTCACCAGCCAAACAAAGGACTCGTCGCTGCCTACGAGAAATACCTCCAGTGACCAAAATGAACACTTCAGAACCAGAACCTCAGCCCCAACCAGGTACGTCTGCACAAGAAACGATTGAAGAATCACCTTTCTTTACTCCAAACCCCTACCAAGTGCTTCAAAATGACAGAGAAGTAATGGAGTCTGCAGCAATACCCAGAGAACCAAAGCCTCCTCCGATATTTGTGAAAAATATAAAAAATTTCCAGATGTTCTGCACCCAACTAAATAAAATCTGCTCTGGCAGTTATTCATGCCTTAACAGGACCAATGACACCAAAATAACACCTGATTCTGCAGAAGCCTACCGAAAAATAGTGAAGTACTTATCAGAAACAAATGCGAATTTTCACACTTACCAGCTGAGGCAGGAAAGAGCTTTACGAGTAGTGATAAGAAATTTACATTCCTCAACCCCCACTGAAGTTATTAAAGAAGAACTAACGACGCTTGGTTTCAATGTACGCCAGGTAACAAACGTTTTGAAGGAGGACAGGGAGCAGCCAGGATTACGAAATAGGATCCCACTACCATTGTTTTTCGTGGACTTGGAGCCATCACCAGGTATCGAAAAAATATATGATATCACAAGAATATACTACACAATGGTGAAAGTTGAGAAGCCATATCCCAAGAGAGACATCGTGCAGTGCCATAATTGTCAGACCTATGGCCACACGAAGACATATTGCCACCATCTGCCGCGTTGCGTGAAGTGCGGTGAACAGCACAAATCTGTAGAGTGCACCAAACCTATACAAGATCCAGCAGTATGTGCCCTATGCTTGGAGGGACACCCGGCCAACTACAAAGGCTGCCAAATTTACAAGAATCTCAAAACCAGACACCAGAAAAACCGGATTCAAGATGAAGCACTAAGAACAAGAAGAGAGAGAGAGCCTTCCAGAATTGTAAACAATGATGTATCATTCTCCCAACTACTTAGAGGTAAGACTTTAACCGATAAATGTCAAGCCCTGCCACAACAACAACCTCAAACCCAACCTCAAAATCCTCTTCATCCTAATATACCTAACCACCAACAACAAATTCCTCATATTCCTCCTCCTTCAAATGCAACAGATCTCACAAGTTTGTTAGCATCTTTCCTCACCGATTTCAAATCCCTTGTTACTCCACTCATATCACTCCTCACGAATCTCGTATCTCACCTCATCCCTCCTTTGAAAAATCCTTAAATGACTCACATCCCTAAACCCATATCCATTCTCCTTTGGAATGCGAATGGTGTTAGAAATCATACAGACGAACTATCTACTTTACTACTTGACAAGAACATTGATGTGGCACTAATTACTGAAACTCGACTAACCACTAAACAGCACTTCAATATACCACAATACCTGACATATCGTACTGACCACCCTGACGGAAAAGCACATGCCGGTACTCTTTGAATTAGATTGGTTGTTTATCTGTGCATTCTACCGTACGGGTACTGTTTAATACTAATAGCTTAACTATTATGGAACTGAGGTAATTGGTACACCAAATCCCTCTCCCCCATCCACGTACATCCCAATAACCCATACCATTTGTTAGCTATTTCTGCCTACCGTTCACCATACCGCTTATCGCGGCGGATAAAAAAAAAACCTTGCCGCCTACTCCTTTTCGCTGTGTGTCACGATCTTGGCATCAAAGCGTATTTGCCCCTAGTCTTCACATTCACCGATGCCATATCCAATGCCCACTTACCAGTGTCTCAAACAATCCCTCGCCTCCTTACGGCCACCACCACCAACTTGGGTGCCAGACCCCAATTTATGCCACCGCCCAATCCTCCCAATTGGGCCCCGTTCCCGCACCCCCATTTAAACCCCCCCCCGCCAATCCACTCGTCCTATCCCCTGGACCCAGCAGTCGATGCAAACCCACACCCTTCCCAACTAATAACCACACAACACACCCCCTCCCCCCCCCCCCCCCCCCCCCCCGCACTTTGAACCCCCCCCCCCACCTCAACAGCCCACCTACACAACCAGGCCCACCGCAAGACCCCCAACCCGTAAAAAATCCTGGACCATCTATGATATAATCACACAATAATTTGTATATATAAATCAACCACCAGCGTACCGCAAAAAAATAAAGGAAACAAGAAATCCCCTCAATAGGAAAAACACCCATACCACACACGACCTAAAAGGAACTTTTCCTCTGAGACCAGAATACCTCTAAACCTTCATTGTAACAACTATGAACCTGATCCCAAACCTACTCCCACCGTCATTCAATAGAGAGGGCCCGCATACAACTGGGTGGGTGTGCAACACCCCATATATCGCCACACACAATTAAATCTCCGATAATAATTGAATGACAAATTTGCAATTCAACATATCCCGTCCCAAACGATCAAAACTCCCGAAGACCTCATCTCTGATAGTGGCCGTAGAAATACCATTAAACCTTACCCACAAATCCAACAACAGCCGCCCTGGGAAGTGGCTGCCCTCCTTCCCACAATGACTACCTCCAGAAAGAAAAAAATTCCTATAAAGACCATTCTAAACAAAAATCTAAAAATTCAAAAGAAACCCCCAACACCATCCTTTAAAACCTAATCCGCCCCAAACCGCCCGAGGCCAGAAATTTATTATGTGAGGGCATACAACGTACCCACATCCTACCGAGCGATGCGCCATAAAAGAACTACTGCACAACAATTAAACTGGAATTAGCCACCTCTTAACACAAAGATGCCTAGCCAACTTCCATCAACAACACCGCTCTGGTCCCTACCTATCCTCCCCCTTCCTTGAATAAATTTCTACCCTCGCGACCAATACCCCCCCCCCACCTCCCCCCCCCCCCCCACCCTCCAGCCCCCCCTTTGGAAAACCCACCCACAACAAAAAAAATCCAAATATTTATAATTAATTAAATAATTACCTCAAACCGCATATTTCCCCAATACTTTAAACACTCGAACCGATTTCGCTCGCGACGAGGGTGATGGGCTCCTGGGCAGCATCTGACGAAGATAAAGCTGAGGAGTTCGCCATTCCACCTAATCGAATAACGCCATTTATTTTATATTATATATTTTGATTTTTTATCTATTTCACCATCCGGAATCCCATCCTGCCCCAAAATTCGACGAGATACCAGAGCCCCGTAGAAGATTACTCACTCACTACCCTTACAAAATCACCCTGCGAAACCCCACTTATCTTCCTAAGCCCCCCCAAAAAGCTAATACACTCCTACCGAACGTACAATTATACCAACACAATAACACCCCCACTAAGCCTACCCGTAAAGCTCCAGGAACCAGATACACTGAGACTTATACCCCAACCCTTACACACCTCACAACCTACGACCACCTTCCAATCCACAGCAGCTCATACATCACCCATGTACATACCTCTACAATCGCATCCAAACGCACCACCCACTTCCCTCTGTTAAGGAAACACTCACTATTATCCATTCCCCCCCCCCCACCCCCACCCCAAACCAGGAAAACCTCTCAATAGGCCTTGTCAACAGGAATCACACAAAATATCCTATAGACCAAACAACAATATATTCTATGCAACATACAGCCTAACAACCCCAATCAAACAAACAATATGAGACAAGAAACCAAATAAAAATTAGAAGAAACACAAAAAAAAAGGAAAAATTAGAGAACGAATACCAACACCCATTCAGACATCCCCCCAAAATATCCGTACGCCGTCCCCCATCAGTTTGGATTTTCGCTCACAACATATCTTACTGTTCATTCAACAAGGATGAAAATCTCCCCCGAGTTTGATCAAATTTCCCCCTGCTCAGCCCTAGAAAACACGGACTACTAGTCGGGTGCCTCTCCCCCCCTCCCCCCCCCCCCCCCCCCCCCCCCTCCTCGACCCTCCCCCCCCCTCCCCCCCCCCCCCCCCCCCCCCACCCCCCCCCTCCCCGTCCCCCCACCCCCCTCCCCCCCCCCTCCCCCCACCTCCCCCCTCCCCACCCCCCCCCTCCCCCCCCCTCCCCCCCCCTCCCCCCCGCCGCCCCACCCCCCCCCTCCCCCCCCCCCCCCCCCCCCCCACCCCCCCCGCCACCTCCACCCCCTCCCACCCCTTCCCCCCGCCCCCCCCCCCCCCTGCCTCCGCCCCCCCCCCCCCCTCCCTCCCCCCCTCCCCCCCCCTCCCCCCCCCCTCCCCCCCCCCCCCCCTCCCCCCTCCCCCCCCCCCCCCCCCCCTACCCCCCTCCCCCCCCCCCCCCCCCCCCCCCCCCCCCCCCCCGCCCCCCCCCCCCCCCCTTCCCCCCCCCCCCCCCCCTCCCCCCCCCCCCCTCCCTCCCCCCCCCACCCCCCCCACTCCCCCCCTCCCCCCCCCTCCCCCCCCTCCCCCCCCCCCCCTCCCTCCCCCCACCCCCCCCCCCCCCCCCCCCCCCCCCCTCTTCCCCTCCCTCCCCCCCACCTCCCCCCCCACCCCCCCCCCCCTTCCCCCCCCCCCCTCCCCCCCCCCCCCCCCCCTCCCCTCCCCCCCCCCCCCCCCCCCTCCCCCCTCCCCCCCCCCATCCCCCCCCCCCCCCCCCCGCCCCCCCCTCCTCCCTCCCCCCCCCCCCCCTCCCCCCCCCCCCCCTCCCCCCCCCCCTCCCCCCACCTGGACATTGCACCAGGGGCATTTACCCAAAAAAAAACACAAGGACACGTAAACTGAAACAAACACAACACCACCCGGCTGCCACCTTCCGCCCCACCCCGATCCCGCCGCCCCCCCACCCCCTCCCCCCCCCCACGTCTTGCCGCGACCCCGACTTCTACCGCTAACCCCGACCCATGGTGGGGGCGTCGCCGTCCCCCGCTCAGCCCCCTCCCTCCGCCCCGCCCCCCCCCCCCCCCACCCTCCCACACCCTCTAACCCCGTCCCACCACCTCACACTCAGCCCCGACCACCCCCCCACCCGCCGAACCCGCCAAAACCAAAGTAAGCCCTTATTACCACAAACAAAATTATCAACGCAATAACACGTTAGAAGTAAAAAAATCTACTCCCCTTTACGCTAATACTTTGGTCCCCACTCGCTTTTTCCCGGTATACCATAATTATTCTCTCTACGGTCGACCTAGCTCACCCCGCATAAAAACCTCCCTTTAAACAATGTATAAAAACCCCTCAGTCCTTGTACGCTAGCCTCCACGAAGAAAAGAGGTTAAAGATACGAAAAAAAAAGATAGTATCGCCTAACTTGTCCTCAGACTCCGCCACCTTAACGATTCGCAGTGGACCAGACTTTTCAATATTCTCTCAAAAACTGCCGTTAAAAGGAGGAGAGGAGTGGTATCGCCTGGAGTATTCCCACAAGGCAGTGGTCTATGGGATGTTCCCGTGGCGTGACATTTAAAAACCAAAATAAAAAGCCTACTTTACCCTGCTGATCCCTGTTCATCCCGATACTTTTCCTTTGCAAATTCGCTGCCGATTGGCAGCCGTAGAAGAACACCGCACAAAGACGAATGAGAATGAATGACAATTTATCATCCAACTCTGAGTGCTTCCCGGAAATAGCATCCTCTTATAATCTCCAGAAGCACGCCTCACCTAGAATTGAGCCTGGTGTAAAATAACTGCGCATTAAAGTGTAATGAAGTTCCTAAATGCCAACAATATTACCTCAGGATTATTAACAAAAATATTAACACCAACCCCGCGAATTGCAGAGTAACGATGTATGAACCTGTGACTCTCAACATCATGACCACCAAGACTCCTCACTAACTTACATTCCCTCATCCAGGCTTCCCCCTTATTCAGTACACATTCCGGTATCATTTGCTTTCAAAATACATCATTTAGTACCGCAATGTACTAACTTGGCACCCGCAAATACTAGTTAAGAAGTGAGATGGGCGGGAGTCAATTCCTGGGGGTACAAGCTGAACTCAAAAAAGACAAAGAACCTACAAACCGACGATACGTGCCCAACAATACCGACTACTAAGCAGAAAAATCAAAAACAAATTTTTCCATTGAAAACAGCTACTGAACCTACAAGTGACAACTACTGAAGACCTTATATATGGACTATATATCCGGACTAACGAACTGTGGGGATCAGCAAAATTTTTTATCCCCTCTTTATTTTTATAAACACCCCCCGCCCGCGCCCGGGTCCACCCGCTCCCCCCACCCGCCCCCCCCGACCCCCCACCCTCTCCACCCCACCAGAAACACAATAGAAGAAAAAAAAAAATATAAATAAAACAAACTAGAAACCGAAATTCAATCAACCCATATACTCCGCGGACCTGCCCACTCCCCCAGCTCACCCCGCGTTCCCCACCACAGTGGCCCATATCCCGTTTGCCCCCTCACAAACTTCGGCCCCCGCGACCCCTCCCCCCCATCCGCCAAACTCCCCCACTACTCATCCGCCAAGACACAACACCCCCTCCCCCCGCCACCCCCCCACCCAACCCCCCCCCAATCACCACCCCCCACGATGCCCCCCCCCCCCCCCCCCCCACCCCCCCCCCCAACCCCCCCCACCCCACCCCCCCCCACCCCCCCACCCCACCCCCCACCCCCCCCCCCCCCCCCCACCCCCCCCCCCCCACTCCCCGCCTCTGTTATTAAACGGCAGTCCCTCGCGACCTTTTGTAAGATTAATCGAAAAAATGGAGATCAGCCAAATGTCCTGAAAATTCTTCAACACTACAAGACATGTGGTGAACTATTGTGGCTCAAAGTGCTCCTCGGAGGGGAGACCAATCTCACGCTGGGCTTTAAGTAACCAGTGGACGCGGTTGAAGAGAACGCAATTTCTTTTTCTCCTTGATGATCCCATCGCTGAATGTATATATAAGGTATACAAA